TATGGAACATGTGACTCTTTCTGCGTTTGTTGTCTCCATTGATGCCCCAGTGGAGAGAAACTCAAAACAACTATAATTAGGATCAATCTCCTAGGGACTGTCTTCATGCCTATGCTTCACGTCTCTGGAGCAAAAACATTGAGGAACATGTGTTCCAATGATTGGAGATTCCGAAATCCAATGAACACCATGATTCATTGGAAAGCATGATTCATTCCAATGAAAACCATGAAAGCCCCCGAGATTCCAGGATGTTCGACCCAACTCGGTTGCTCCCGCTGTTGCGCACACCTCGTGCAGTGAGATCTTCGTCCGACTCCCAGCCGATGGCGGTGAAGGGCACCACGCCCGAGGGCTTCTTGCGCCCGCCTGGAGATCCGCTGAACTCCCGGAACTCCCGAGTCGGGCGAGAAACGTCGAAGGATGTTCACCCATCCCGCGGTGGTGCGAAGGTTGGACCTGCACACACACACACACATTGACCCATACTGCAACTGGATTATTGTTGCACGATAATGCATACAACATCATACAACCAGGATCAGACCATGATCCTGTTTAGCATCAGCATACCTGGTGCTAAATGTTGAGCAAATGAACTGAGGATCCGCTAGCCAGTTAAACATTGACCTTTTGTATGACAAACTCTACTTCACTAGTTCTCTCTCCATGGCTCTTTTTCTTCTAACTCTTCTTCTTCTTGCCGTTGGTGTTTGTGTTGGTTGATATTGTTGTTGGTGGTGGTAGTTGTAGTTGGTTTATGTTCTGTGTGTGCTTGTTGGTTTGTTTGACTGATTGATTGTTTGTCTGTCCGTTAGTTTTGGGTTTGTTTGTTTGTTTGTGTGCTTATTTGTTCGCTGTTGCTATTTGTTGATTGTTTGTTTGCTTGGTTAGTTTATTGTTTGATTGTTTGTTTGTGCTTGTTTGAGTGTCTGTTTCTGTCTGTCTGTTTCTGTCTGGCGGGCGGGCGGTCGGTCGGTTGTTTTTGTTTCTATGTTGTTTGTTTCGTTTGTTGTTGTCTATTTTTGATATGTTTAATCAACAGGTTTCAAACATGCAGCATGCATAAAGCGAAGACCCCTTTCTTTGGATTTGTCCCTGCACTTTGTCCTTATGCCATTCCAGGCGCTATAGCTTCTGCCGTTCACAGTCAAGCGGTCATAGTTGCGCTCCGTGTCAAAGTCCACGACTTGAAACGGTCTCGCTAGGGACTGGTTGACTGCGATGGTGCAGCGTTGATTGTTACCTGACACAAGTGCTGCACTCATGGGGCCCCTGGGCACGTGGGTGCCGGCGGTGTCTACCACACCACAGGGTCGGGCCATGTTCCGTGGCGACATGGCACCCAGCGTCACCGAGGCGAACCCTGAACGTGACCCTGAAACGTGACAAACGGAACGTTCCAGGGGGATCATGTGCAGTCAGAACTGCCCCACCATTTTGGTGGCCCTACTCTTAACATCTCTTAACCAAGCACCCATAAATAGTAATATCAAAATTAGGTTTTCGTGTTATCATGTCGTGGAACTATACACACAGAGTCCTAGAGTATTTACATGCAATTACACTTAAACCTATGCCGTCTTTGCTTGAGGACGGGTACATGACTAGTGCACAACTCCCATTTCGGTGAACAATCACTCCCACAACCACATCTTGGCCAGGCGTCTGTAATTCGATGGATAATTTGGACTCAGAATGCAACCATCCACCATGGTGCACGGCCCCGACCTCGACTGGCACAATTTGGATTGCTCCTATTCTATGGGAAACATTTCTGACCTAGTCAGGCCAGTCACTACTTTTGGGGAAGCGATGATCAACTACCTGCAGCGTTGACAGGGAATCAGCACAACCTCAATGCATGGTGTGCGGTTCAAACGTTCCCGATCATCTGCCATGAGGGCCATGTGCGGTTATGCCCGAAGACAAGGACACGGAAGAATGGTGACCTAAAGTGCCGCACGACTATTGGCATGCTCTTTCAACCGCTTCATCGCTCTATGTATTTAAAATCCACGGATGTCCTGGCCCTTGATGATATTTGCTCGTGCAGTTGCTCGTTTGCTTGCTACATCAGTCGTCGGTTCTCGGGGCGCCCCACTGGACCATCCACAAGACGGAGATGGAGGCGTTTTGACCGCCACCACAGGCCTAGTCGTGGCAGAACATGCTGCAAGAGATCTTCTCTTGCCGTAATGTCATGCTATAGCTACAATGCGAGTAAAACAACACAAAGTACACTGAATATGTTCCCTTGCATGGGCTTAAGGTGAAGTACAACACAAGGCAGCAACACGTCTTGCAATACAACAAGGTATCGATACGAGAGACCCCTGGAGCCTCCAAAGTTCTTCTACTTTGGCATCTTTAGGCACTTTTGGGCAGACCCATGGTGTCTGAAGCGGTCTGGGTAAGCATGAGGTGTCGAAGCGGGACAAGAATTCCCTTCTCCCAGCTGGGTCTTCAAAAGAAACAAGGAATGTTCCACAGGCTTGGATTGTCCCATCTGATCGGCCCTTATAGTGTCATAGAATCTGGATGAGCTCAAGACTCGGACCCTCCAAGACTCGCGGAAAATGGATCGACTTAAGAGATTCCTAACTCATGATGTCATGACTCGCTCAAGAGTTCTCATATGTTCTCATATATGTCCTCTATATGTTCTCCGATCTGAAATCTGAAACCATCCAGGTGGCGCAGCAGGCGTCAAAGGCCGAAAAGCCAAAGTTCCAGTAATCCTCGATGGGACCCCAAAGTGCTTCCCAGTGAGGACCTGGATGCTTCTCGACCGTACACCACCTCAGCCCGCCGCGCGGATCGACCGAGTCCATGAGGCCGAGTCGGAGACACCGATGGGTCGACACCGGATTCACCGAAAACGCAATGACGAGAGCATGAAGGAACACCGTTCTGGTGTTCTCCAAGTTCTTTACAATGTATAATCAAAAGTCTAAGTCTTAGCATATACACATGTATGGTTTCCATGTCGTTTGTTAGTCTTACAGTACAGTAGCTTCTTGGCTTTTAGTTTCTAACCAACTGATTCATTTGGGTACCGTCGTCCAAGTTGCACTTTCTTGCATAGATGACCCCTATCATAATAATACATAACAAAACTACATTCACTGATTGAGGTTGTTCCCAGATATACAGGACAATGACATCAAGATTCCAAACACATGTAAAGAACAACATGCATTATAACCATATAGTGACACAGATTCCTCACGATGCTCACATGAAGAAGTACTACCTCCATCTCCCTCCTAAGCCTATGGATCGCTTCATTGCTTCCTCTCGTTGCATTCGCAATGGGCCAAGCAAATCCACTCCCGCAGCAAGTCGGGTCCAAGAGACAACTCCAGACTGTGTCCGCCACAAAACATCGTTCCAAATGATCCAAGAAAATCAGAACAAATCCAAAAACAACACCACCAAAGCAATCCTTCCCCTTTCATTTTTTGGCAAAAAGGCCCCACATCCGTCCCGCACGCGCGTCAGCGCGTCGGCCTCCCTAGCCGTCCCTAGCGCAGCGTTTGGGCGGTCCAAACATCCTGCGTCGAAGCGACTGTTCCTGGGCGTATTCATTGCAGGAGAATTCCGCCGCATCCATCCAGCCCTCCACGTCTTTGCACGCAGACGGAGCGGACGGAGAAGACGTCGGCCTTGGGTTCGCACACAGAAACGCTGAAGCAAAAATCAGGCTTCAGATGTGACACATGGAGATGAGACACAGCATGACCGAACGCGTTGGATTGACCGTTGTTTTCACGTCTACTTGTCGCCTGCCCAGTAGGCACCCATACTTCTTTCCCATGCAAATGCACACATTATGTGATGAATCATGGACGTAAACTTCTAGTTGGCTGAAGAAAGGATCCTGCCCGAAAATATTAACGACTATATATTATTTGAGTATCACGAACCAAAGTAATCTACTGCTGCTTCCAACCCAGGTGTGAAGGCTCAGGTCTGGCCAGCAAATTTCTCGCAAAGGAGTGGGACGTGCGACCAAATATATATATATATATATACATACACATCTGGATATGCGAACGCAAAGCAATGGAACACATCATCACGGGTATCGACCAACCCATTCTTATTCCCACAAAACCAAACAACACACATGTGTATTATAATATGTAAATAATATATATATATATATATGTATTCTATTATCTTCTATTGTAGAACATAGACACATCACCTAATTAGGGTGCCTGCGACTTCTGCCTTTCCGAGAAAAACAAGAAAAACAATGGCAGCTGTTTCATTCGCAGTTCAGCTGCAGGGGAGTGCTTGAGCTGCTGGAACTGCTAGAGCTTGTTGACTCCGTGACTTCAGTGGTGGTGCTCGACGCCACGGGCGTTGTGCTCCTGCCAGGTCGGCCCGCGATGGGGGGGCCATGGAGCCTGCGGAACGAACGAGCAACACAACGGAGTAAAAGGCATCGTGAATGCTTTCGGTGAACTCGATAGAGTTCATAGCTACAAAATGCTACAAATATTGGAACCCAAATGGAATACCTCCGCCTGACCACGTGGGTTGCTTCGGGTTGCTTTGTGGATGACGTTTTCTCAGGCTCGAAGTGTTCAGGTTGCTCATGTTCCTGGAGTTACTAAAAGTGTCAATGGATCTCCACAGTGACTCCACATCACGAGCTAAAACTCCTCTTCTACCTGCTGGGGTAACAGGTGATATACTCCCAGTGTTCTAAAGGGGTCACCCTTCCCTGGTGATGTTCGATCCCAAAGCACCAACTGAGAAAACTCCTCTCACTGGAGCTCGTGGTGCTGCCAATCACTGCCTTGGGCTCAAACACCTACCAGACCACCTACATCAGATGGGTGTCAAACAAATAGAGACGGGATCTCTATAATATGTATGGAGTGTTGGCTGACTTTGCCGGACTTTGCCTCTGCTAGTCTCTCTTTGCACTTTGCGCACATAAAGAAACAGGCCTCTCTGGAAGAAAGGGGCTACACTTGCGAACATTGCCTCAAAAACAAGTTTGATAGTGTTGAAGGAAGACATCATTACACCATGTTACACCACCTGTGATATTCTGCAGCAGGTCTGGACCTCATCTTCGTGCAGGGCAAGATACCTCACTGGAGGTTCCATTTCCTGGACAAAGCTTCCATCCAGTGCCCGTAGTGTCTTCATCAGAGACCTGGGCTGAAAATACCTCCCTCAAAACTCGAACGGCTGAAATAACCAGACATGTTTTTGGCTCAAATCCCCAAGACAGCCAACCACCACTTGGGAAGACTGAACCGTTCGAATCCAGCTTCACTCTGTCTCGCTCAAATCCAACCATCGGATGTAGCAAGGCTTCTATCCCGAAGAAGATGCTGGCCAGGATCGGTTGTATGTACATGACATACATATTTACACAGATGCAGAGTCAGCACAGAATCTGGATACATTTGTGATTTGGCCCTTCTATGTCCTTCCAAGCCAATATGTCAGACATACAGACCTAATATGGATATTACACATGGACCCTGATTTAATTCTGTCCAATCTGCACAGTGTTGTGGTCACAACTCATAACAATAAACTGCTATACAAATGAACAACCCTGCGATCCTGCAAAACGACCATGTCACACATGTGAATCCCAAATTAATCCTCGCAAACGGCAAAAACTATCAATCAACACATACCTCATATAGGATCAAATAGGGTCATATTATAGGGTCAAGCAAACACGGGTGAGCAGTAGCTTGAACACTGGGGTGAGCAGTAGCAGTGCTACGACTCATGAGGACTCCGGTTGTGGTGGATCGAGAATCACCGGTAGACTCCCCCCATTCAAAAACGTCGCTGACTTTGCATCGAAGCTGTCGGCATGAGAAAACAAGAAATACTCCCCCCAAGTTGGATTGAAGAACCGAATTCATGTGGGGAAAGGTTATTCATCAAGAGCCCTATCAAGAGCCTATATTGGTCTATATTGGCTTAATGACCTCTCAATTATCGTGGTCCACCTTTCCCTGAAGACATCTGCATGTGTTTTGCCGAGAAGAGTCCATTGTTTGATGACACACATGAAAAATACCCAAGGGACCATCAACCTGCTAAAAGCCTCACAAACGCCTGAACGTTAGGAATATTGTATCTTTCAATGGGATTCAGAGGTGCACAAACTTTTACAAAGTGATTAGGTAATTAATGTTGTCCACATTTAGCCCTAACGGGGTCCACATCTTTCCATGTGACTTGACGGACTAGATGGGACTTGGATGAGTTCCTATCTTCGGCATGGTGGATCTTTGACATGGCTAGATTTGGGGTCCAACTATCTGAGAAGTGCAGGATGTAGGATTCACCCGCATTTGCAGGGTTTGTGCCATCTACTCCGACCAATTCCAAGCCAGCAATGGAGCCAATCTCACTCATCACCGGATCTCTCGGATCTCAACGTCCACCCGCCATAGAGCCGACTCGGTTGGGACCGGGTGGCCCAGTGCATAGAGCCATTGGGAGTCTGGTTCAGCGGCTGAAGTGTTCCACTGAAGAGGCGTCCGTTGATGAGCAAGAAGTCAAACCTCAAGAACTCAAGAACCAAATATATGATGTGTCTAGAATATTCACCAAATATGATGATTGTTGATGTTTAGAATCTTCACCAACCGGGCTTCGTTCAGTCTGGGTTGATGAAAATACATCGGTCTTCTGCGCTCCTCCAAAAGGCTACCCTGGGCTTCAAAGGCATGTGGGGAGACCGGTTGGGAGGGCCTATTGACGTGCGTTGTAAACTAGTATAATGTGAATAGTGTTGCATATGTTGTATATTAATATACATACACATTGCATATACATCTGTTGGATAGCCCGGGATAGCTCGCTCTAAATCCGCAAAAGGTTCTTGGTCTGGCCTTCCGTGCATCTGAAGCCTCCGAGTACCCTCTGATTTAGATGGTGCCTCCGTTCCCACCCTTTCCACTGTTCGCAGTCTCCAAGCCCAACAGGACGAGCTGCCAATACTCTACATCCCAATCAACGACCCTGATGGGCTGCGCTAAAGTCTGGTTGACGATGATGGTGCAGCGCTGGTTGTTGCTGTAATTCTGCGGATAGTTGGGGCTCAGAAGACAACCCTCGGTGTCCACCGTACATGGCCCTTGGAGGACTTGCCACAGACCTGGCAGGAAGTCCCAGTAGGACGGTGAAGAAAGCCGTCCAACCGACCCTGTTGATCCGGTGCGCGTTCAACGGAAGCGTGCAAGAAGGTGGTGAACAACTGGAGATGCGAAGTGTTAGAAGCAACATCTCACAGAGTTGCATTGGATTGGCAGATTGAAATCACTTTCCCATTGAGGATGGGCTGATCCCATCCACGGCCCAAAGGTTTTTTTCGGCACGCAAAGACATGCCCTCAAGCACACATGGGTGTCGAAAACGCTTGCCATGGATTCTAGTCGCCGAGGCCATGCGACCCGTGACCTAGTCACGTTTCGAGCGCTCGAAACGAGCCGTGGCTCGTTTGGGTGCGCTCCTCTCGGATGGTCGGTCGACGGCCGAGCCACCAGCGATGGATTGAACTTGCCCACCGCCGCAAGCGCAGCAGGCCGCTTGAGCGGTAAAGCCCTCCCTCCAGCGCTCTTCAAAACCCTGGGACGTCCAGGAGAGGATCAGAGTGCTGGATGAATCAGTGCTGTAAGTTTACAGTCTAGATACATGTACATAAGGACTGTGGTTTCTAGCCATAAATGGAAAGGACAATAGATACCCCCTACTAAGCAAAAGCTTTTACATGCTTTTACTACTCCGGAGGCGTAACAAAAAGGAGTCAACCAAACACATGACTGAACACAAAACTGATCAGGAACCATACAGTATTGATCAACTTAGTCAAATGACCTGACAGTCCTGGTGTGTTGACCTCCCTGAAAGAGGAATCGGTTCATTTGGAGATCCACCAAGGTCCCCTGCTTTTGCCTCACAGCCATTTGGATAATTCCTAGTCTAGTTTCCAAGGAGGTCCACGACTTCACGGGAGGTCTGGTGACTGGTCAAGACCTCCACACGCAAGTACCCTCTCGCTGTTAAGAAAGGACCCTCTCGGTGCTGCGCATGTTACAATGTTTACATCATTGCCATCCAAAAATATGAAATCGACAAGTATTACCAGACATTTGGCTTATGTTGTCTCTTTTTGAGTGCCCTCTTATTGAGTAGGGGCCTACTTATATAAATATTCAAAGAGGAATTGAAGTAGGTCAGGTGCGATGACTATTTGTCTCGTTAAAGGGTCAGGGCCAGGGCGGGGTAAGAGAGCCGTTGACCTGCATCCACGCAGGATTTAGTCAAGTCTCACCCCACGTTTGCTGCCATCCAAAGCCCTCAGCACCGTCTTCTGTGCACCAGCTCCTGTTGGCATACCTCGTCCAATGACAAGTTTGCAGAATACACATTGGTTTATCAATTCTGATTATTGAAAGCGGGTGCTCGTCTTTTATGTACCTTTGAATGACCCCAAAGTCCCATGGTACGGGTGGAAGTAAGGTGGAAGTAAACAAACACTCTATTCATCTTGATTATATCGTCAATACACAGGCACTTACGAACTGAAAATGTGGGTGTCTCTCGAAAACAATTATTGAAGGGTGATATTGACTCCTGTGTGCAACTGTTGTTAATAAGAAATCCCAAAACTCGTGCACAGAGTATGAAAAACACATTGAGAAGCATTGATTACACTTGTCACAAAGTCGCTGTTGCTTGCACACAAATGAGCAGTGGACAAAATTGCGCGTGTAGCCAAATAGCATTTGACATGATTATTGTGTTTGGCAGGGTCCATATCGTTCTCCACAGCAACAAAGCCCTCCAACATAGATTAGGTTCATGCCGTGACAAATAAGTCAACCAATAACTTTGTCAGTCGCTCAAATTAGTGGTGATGTGACGTGATCTGAGTCCTTCTGGGTCTATATATATATATACTGTAATATACTGTAATGTCTACCCTCTGTCACTATGTTATGTTTTGTCAACATCATTCGACCGGTGAAACGGTTAAACCCATAACACCCGTGTGGACAGTTGGGTCGCTCCTTGGTGATCAACCCTGGAAACCATGGGTGCAATCGCATGGGCGCACCCGCTATACACGCGTGTAGCACGTGGACGGGCTCCAAGGCTGAGTTATCACTAGCGAACTACAAACTGCAAACACGTGTGTGTGTATATATATGTGTGCGTGTGGGTGTCAGTTCTACTTGGGAGACGACTGTTTGCCAAGAACCCGTGCAAGTAATCCCTTATCTGATGTGTTTTGAGTAAAATATGTATATAATACATCACAAAGCAAATGAAAAGGTTCCAGAAACTCCGGCTATATATATATATATAATACCTGATTATGCATGCATCCTCGCTATTCCTCGGTGTTCCTCGGTGGTCGAGAGGGACCTGTTTTCGAACGCCGACAGCTCGTGCCAGCTCCCGCACGTTGATCCATTGATCCGCTGGAGGGGATGATGAACATCGCTCACAGTGATCCCTGAAGGCCCTGAACCTGTCATTTGGGCCACCCAAAACGCTGACACCAGGCCGAGCGGTCAGAGTCGCCGGGCGGCTCATGACAGGAGTAGCCTTCATTGTCAGTCCACCCAGGCACATCCTTGCAGTCGAGCCTCCTGTGAACATGCCGCAAACATCTGCGAACTCCCAAACAAAACCCTTGGATTTGCTTCAGGAATCTGGAAGACAATATATATTCTTTAGCTGGGGATTTAACCAATAGGGAGAATGACAAAAATCATCAAACATCACCTGAAACAAAACCTCGACCTTGGCTTTATCCTATTCCCCAGTCACAGTGGATGATGGTTCGGATCTTCTATGGATCTACCGACTATTACAGGTCATGGGAGGACATTGCCCCAACCTCCTGACATCCACGGACCCCCCGCCGGCCACCCGTCCGGTCCTCTCGTCTGCAAGTGTCTCCTGTCGTCTGCTAGGCTAGGCCCCCCCCTCTGGGGGCTCAGATCGGTGACACCAACTGATTGGTGGGATGAATTCGATCTTCAGTCTGGTTGGTCGCAAAAATGGCGGAACAACAACTGAAAAGTCCCCATAAGCCTATAACTCTTAGATGAATTTTGACTGCTGCCAAACCGTGGCTTGTAAGATCTCTTCACATGGGGGGTTTTATGATCTGTAAATGTCAATCAAGAGTCTACATTCCTTGCACATCTTGCTCTTCGTAGATGACGGGAATCCTCAAGAGATGGTTTTCAATGGATCGTATCATGTCTGGACATCCTGGCGGAGCCCTGCAGAGCTAGGTTAAATAGGACCCGAAAAACTCCTGAAATTCCATGAGGCAACTCACCCAGCCGACTTTGATTGCTGTCGCAGCATCAAGTTCATCAGTAGGGTAGAACTAACCTGTCTCACCCAGCTGGGATGTTGAAGTGGGATGACATGTGGGGATGGGTCGTGACCCACCATGTGAGCCATCGCCTGACCAGTCCTACCATGACATCGCCGCCGTCCCATGACCGACATCAGGTGACGTCAACCAGTCGTCGGTGTCCCATGTGGGATCATGTGGGTGTGTAGCTCAGTCTTCGGGAGAACGACCGCCGGCCGAGCCCTGGAAGGTTCGGAACCCGAGATGCATGCACGCTCCGCCTGCGAGAGGAGGACGCTCCACCTGAGCTGGCAAATCAGAGGGTCGATCACTCTGAGGTCGAAACACCTGGAAGTTCCTCCTACAAGAGTTGCTTTGTACCTTTTACATCTTTTTACGATTCAAGTGATTCAAGTATGGAGGAATTGAGGGTTTGTCATTGTCCACATCCATTCTTTGGGTCATGTCAATTGGTCATAGGGGTTGCATTTTGTCGATCAAGCCTTGGCCTCCAGCTACAGGAAGCCCATGAAGTGTTACGTAGTTGGCAAATGCTGGACATATGTAACTGTTCAAATCTTCTCATACACCAAAGTAGCAATATGTGAGTGGTTCTAGTTCTCATTTAAAAAAACAAAAACTGGGGGTGGTTTTAGGCAATCACGCATCACAAAGCAGTACATCGTCCGTGCTGAGGCCACAGGAACGACTCCGTCACACCCGGAACGCTCTGGGAAGTGACCCACACCCGGCCTCCGTGTAGCCTATTGGGAGCAAGAAGCTACGAACGTGGCTCCTCCAATTACTACTAGAGGAACAAGAAGCTACTAGCAGCAAAGGGCATTAATTGGTAGATATGACTAGTACTGTAGTAGCTCCTCTCTCCTAGTAACAAGGGCATCGCAACGAACGGAGGACTCTAACATGCACAGCACCTCACCGAGGCACCGTGTAGCTCTTGAAGAGCGAGGAATTGGCCGTTTCGCAGCTGGGATTCTACGTGCCTAGCAGCCCACATCGGGGCTGGATTAAATGTTTTTATACGCAACTCCACGCAACTCTGCAACTATCCAGAGAATGAATATACAGTAGGTGACCCCCCCATTCTATAAAGGATGTAGTTATATACATGAGAATGATGTTTCAACCCAATGCCACATGTCTTTCCAACTCGGCGTTTTTGTTGCCATTCCGACTCGGTTCAACCCGCAAGATCTCCAGGTCGAGGTGCAAAGTCCATCTGGTCCATGCCGTCATCGGCTACGGTGAGACAAAGAGAAATGCATTTTTTGCGACAGGGCAATCCACAAACACATGGGCTGATGTATATAGGAACAACCACGTTGGTGAACAAACAGGGGCATTGATGGGTCAACTGACACTCAGTCCTTTTGTTTCTGTCACAAACATTGAATCACATTTCTCAAGGCAAGGTAATTACAATTGATGCTTGTAGTGTTGTTGGAAACCTCAATTGGTAGAGTAGAGTTTATGGCCCCCAGAAGTGATCCAGGTGGATAACAGCCAATCCGTTGCAAAAGACCATGGTCATGGTGAGCCGAACACCGCTGCCAAGCTTTCGCTGTGAAAAGAACACCCCCGTCAAAAGAAAAAGGAAAACTGCACAGCCTGAAAAACACAATAAAAAAACACACGCCTATAATATAATATATCTTATAACAGTATATAAGTATTAACTTAACATATAGTAACACATAGTAAATTGTATTTCCTCATAATTCCTCTACATTGCCCCTCTGAGATCGGACCTGCATCATCTGCCTCGCAACGAACACGACGGGTTTTCGTCGCAACGACCACGTGTTCCTCGTTCTCAAAAGGTTTTGCCAGGTACGGTGTGCAACACTTTTTGGACACATGGAAGTTCAACGTACGGTACGGTGGTTTTGCCAGGTACGTTCTTTTTGGACACTTCTTTAACGAAGAAATTATGGAAGTGAAAAAGGGGAACCCAGCAGCTGGTCTTCCTCGTTTTGCTGGGTTCGAAAGAAGTGAGGTGAGTGCGGTGAGTGCCCTCCACGTGGTTTTTTCGCGATGCTGGTCCTTTTGTATAGTGCAACCAGTGCGATGTACATCGAATACCCTTGTGAAAACGCAGGAGCTGCCGGCCCAGCAGGTCTGTCACGCAGTTCGAAAGAAGGTGAAAAGCACTTCCAAGTGAACGGTCGTCCCCAGTGTGCTGTGTTGCTTTGTTTTTTCTTTCCAAGACCCTGAGATAAGCAGGCTGTGCTTCAGGCAGACTCAACTGTTCATCAACTCAAGAACTTGGCTTCAAACTGCCATGGCACTGCGGTGCTGGCGGTGCTCAACTAAAGTCTAGCGCCGTGAAGCGTCTAGCGCTTTTACCGTCAAGTCTAGCGCTTTGAGCCGCTTTGAACAAGCGGATCTGAAGATGTCATGGTAAACCATTGAGTAGACCCTGGTAGACCTAAAACTTGAAAACATGCTGGTGAACTGTGATCGATGCCTCTCAGTCTTCCATGATTGAGCCAAAGGTTGTTACACTGTAGGAAAAGAGCTATTTCAATATAGTAGCAACCACAAGAAAGTCATTGAATCTGTCAAGCAAAAACACATGTTGTTAAATGCTAAAACATGTAGTAATCAAAAGCTGCAATAGCTTTGCTCTGCAACCATGTACTCTAGGGTTTGTGCCATATCCAAATCTTCTTCCCAGATCGTGAGAGAAGGAATTGTTTGGTCCACAATGATGTGCCATGACAATTGTTGCATCACTTTTTCTTAGATAGATTTGTTGTGATGGTGGGGAAGCTGCTCAAGTATGTGGTCCTCAACTCTATGCGGGTCTCAGCCCTCGATTCCATCCACTATCTTTATTTGAGATTTACCAATCTTTTCTGCCTAACATATCCAAATGTATATCAACCATCAACAAGTATAGATGCCTCGTTTACGCCTTCACACGATGGAGTGAGGAATCCGCATCAACCTCCCTTATCAATCTTTCAGCATCGTTCAGCTGACTTTTCTTCCATGTGTCAGAAACCACCGATCAGCTGAATCCACCGATCAGCTCCACTTTTTGTCGATCTCTTTCAATTGAAATTCATGGGCCAACCGCCATCTTTCGAGCGGCATCGGCTGCTTCTTCGGCGCCTCAAAGATGGGCTGTCATGGCGGTTACAAAGTTTGAATCTGTGTTTAATGTTCAACAGAAACATTCATATACTGTAATATATTAACATATACTGTATATGATATATATATATATATATTATGTATATATACTATATACTGTACTATACATTACTATACTAGATATACACCAATTTGAGGCAACATGAACACATCAGAGGGCAAACTGTCCATCTTTCCAAGGCGACTGCAGATCGACCGGCGACTGCAGATCGACCAAGGCAACAGGTTCTAACCAGAAGTTGCTGGAGGTTTTACAACTCCCCATCTGAAGAGGTTACTCAACTCGCCGCATGAAGAGGTTTTGCTCCCAATGAAGGGGGGGTTATTCATCGACCGTCTACATCGAGTGGAATATCCCGGG